ATAGAAACAGGAGTAAGCCATTCAGCCCTTCGAGCCTGTTATGCCATTCTATAAGATCATGGCTGAGTTGTACCTCAAGTTCAATTACCCAGCCTTGCCCTGCATCCCTTGATACCCTGACATAACAAATATCTATCCAGCTCAGTCTTGAAGATATTGAATGGATCCAGCATCCACAGCCTTTTGGGGGAGAGATTTCCAGATTTCCACTACCCTTTAGGTGAAAACTGCCTCTGAATTTCACTTCTAATCATTAATTGCTGACGTCATGCTTATCTTTGTTGTATTCAATGGCCTCATTTATTTGGTCAGCCGGGTGTCTTCCACTTGCAGAAACCACTTGCTTCAGTGTATCCATACCAGACTGGGAGTTCCTCATATGTATGTCACCTACACGTGGAATATGTACTCTCTCCCTAGACGGACACACCATCTTATCTAATTCTAGAGAGTATCAGGCACCTGTTGGCGAGAGCGTGGAGCCCTAGAGTGGGCATTGGGGTAACTGCTAGAATTTAACCAGCTAAAACCACATAGCTCTGCCACTGTTAAGTACTCCGAGATTCTGTCCCACTGTGTGCAGTTCTGGTCCCCAAATTATAGGAGGGATGTAGAGGCACTGGAGAGGGAGCAAAGTAGATTCACAAGGATGATCCCAGAACTGAGAGGTTAAACCTATCAGGAAAGGCTGAACATACTTGGACTATTTTCTCTTGAAAAGAGGGTAAGGGGTGACCTGATGGAGATCTTTAAAATGATGAAAGGTTTTGATGCGGTAGACATAGGGAAGATGTTTCCACTAATGGGGGAGACCAAAACCAGGAGCCATCAATATAATAGTCACAAATAGATCAAATAGGGAAGTTAGAAGAAATTTCTTCACACAGAGAGTAGTGGGAATGTGGAACATGCTACCACAAGGAGTTGTTGAGGCAAATAGCATAGATGTATTTAAGGGAAAGCTCGATAGGTACATGAGGGAGAAAGGAATAGAAGAGTATGCTTGAAGGCTTAGTTGAGGAAGAGCTAGAGGAGGCTCATGTAGAGTATAAACACCGGCAAAGACCAGTTGTGCCGAATGGCCTGTTTCTGTGCTGTATATTCTAATGTAAAGGACGTTGCATAAATGCAAGTTGTTGTTGCTGTTGTTAATAGGAGCCACATAGGAAGAATCCCTGTTGCCAATGGGAGAATTAGGGTTAGGGTTCAGAGTTTGCCCTACCTGATGAGCCAGGCTGGCTGGTCTGTCACCAGCAGTGCCTTGGAATACTGTGACCTCAGGAACTGGACTATAACAACAACTTCCATTTATATAGCGTCCCTTATGCAGAGTAGCATTTCAGAACACTTGACAGTGGTGGAGCACAATGCTGAGCCGGGGGGAGGGGGAAGTGACTACCGAGACCCCCACAGAGTGAGACACAGGACAGACTCTATTCCGATGTTCTGTTGCCCAGCAACAGCCTCATACATGAACCGTTTCCAATTAATAACACGCGGAGTAAGGTGACCTTGCTTATAAATGAAGCTTCAGAGAGTGGAAAAAAAACGAGCGAGGAGATGACACCTAGCAGGATGTGACTATTTTTATTCAGCCACCTGGTGATTCTCTGTGTCAAACTGTTAGACTGGAGAATCCGAGACCTCGTCTGTGTTTATTTTAAATTTTAGGATTACTCTTCACGTTGCAATTAACTGATCCCTCAATGACCAGAAATGATCCCCTTCCCCTCCTGTGGAAGATATCTGATAGAGGGGTCAAATTTGCATTGGAGCTAAAGGGAGATAGATCTCTTTGGGACAGAGCTGGCTCCAAGATGACCCATCTCGCAATGGATTGTCAGAATCGAGTCAACCCTCTGTGACGGTCTCTCTCTATAGTCTAGTTGCTGAACCAGGTCAACAGTATTCAACTTGCATTTATATAATGCCCCTCATGCAAGATAGCATCTCGGAGCGAGCAACAGTGGTGGAGCCTGATGCTGACCTGGGGGAAGGGCGGAGGTGACCATAGGCTCTCGAAGAGGAAGGTCTTATGGTGTGATCTCAAAATGGGGAAGAGTGGGGCAAGACGAAGGGGCTGAGAGAGAGAGAGTTCTATACTTTTGGGGTGTAGTGGCTGAAAGCACTGCAGAGCAAAGCTGATGACAGCCAGACTGCCTCGTCAGCAGGACTTGGAAGGGCCGACTGGAAGCAGGTTTTCATTCCACTTATCTCCTGTTAACCTTGCAAGTCAAAGCACTAACATGTAGGGTAGTCCTAACTGGACAAGGCAGTGGAAGAACATAATTAATTTGGTGTGCTAATTATCACAAACAGAACATTATGTTATGAACCACTGCAAATCATGCCCCAGTGTAACACAAGTAAGCAGGGGCAGTGAATTGGAATAAGAAGATTAATTCCTAATGGAAATAAATAATTTCAGCTGGTGCGTCTGGAACACATTTGGAATAATCTTATTAAATGCATAATTATTGTCATATATTAATGGGAAGGAGTGGGTGGTATCAGCTCTGTGGCCTGTGGGTAGCCCAATGTTTATGTGGGTTAATCTTTATTTTCTTCCAAGGACATTATTTGCAAATTTCTCCCTCTCCTGTCAATGACTGCAGCCCAGTTCCTCTCTGTGGGATCTTGTTGTCTGCATAAATGGCTGATGCCTTTGCATACAAAGACACTCAATATAGAAAAGTCATGTGAAATGCTTTGAGATATTCCAAGGCATAAAGAAACTATATTAAATGTTAATCAGTTGGTTGAAAAAATGGATGGCCAGATTGTCAGTCAGTCAGACAGTCAGACAGAAAGTCAGACAGATAGTAAAACAGTCAGACAGACAGACATAGACCCAGGGACAGATTGATGGACAGTGACAGACAAATAGAGAGACCGACTGATGAGAGAGAGCAAAGCAGAGAGAGGTAGAGAGGCCCGGATAACAGAATGGATTAAACCAAAACCCTTTCACTTTCGTCTCCACAGTTCAAATCCAGCCCAGATCAATGTAATACCAACAATTTGCCTCCAGTTAATTGGATTCAGGAGCAGTTTACAGCACAAAACTGCACACAATTCAACCCAAGCTAATAACCTCACTCCACACAGTCCAAGTGGCTGAATCAAGTCAGAACTGTGAATAGGCTAACCAAGATCTGTGAACTGTGAATAGTCTGATGAAGATCATTCAGATAGAGCTGGAGACAGAGACACCTGCTGGTTATTTTACACCTACTTCAGAAGCCCCTGAGGCCCCCAAATTCCTCCGAACCTTCAGCCCGTGAGATCATTTTGTCAGAAAAGTGATAGACAGAGGAAGAACCGTGACATTTTCTTGAAGTCATTCTTAATTAAATTTTTTTTTTTTTTAAAAAGTGCAGAAAAATAGTTTCCATAATTGAACTGGATTTAATTTTTTTCCATTATCCTGCACCACAGAACCATAGAAATTTATGGCCCAGAGAAAGGTCATTCAGCCCAGTGTGTCCGGGCTGGCTCTTCAAAAGAACATTCTTTTAGACCCATTTACCTGCCTTGTGTCCCTTTAAAGTATTTCTTATCTACAGGATGTTCACAAAGTCCTAATACCTCCCTTTCAGTACTTCTAAATACAATCATCATCATTCTTCCACATGTTTCAGTTGTTGGTCAGTGCACTGAAGGAAAAACAATACATGGAGGTAACAGGACTTTGTGGACACCCTGAAGTTTCTGCTTGAAAGCAACTGTGGTTTGCACCTCAACCATAAGCCCCAGCAGTTCATTTTAATAATAATAATAATAATAATAATAATCCTTGCATTTGATATAGCGCTTTTCACGTCGGGAGGACGTCCCAAAGCGCTTCACAGAACACACTGTAAAGTGAATTGACTGTATATTTGTGGGCGAACGCGGCATCCTACTAACCCTTTGGGTAAAAACACCTCCTCCTATTCTTTTGTGTCATATTGTATTTAAAGAGGAAATTATCTTACAGGCTGGGGCTTTTGACGCTTATCCCAGGTAACAAATACATTTAAAAAAAATAATAATTTGGTCACTCAATCCACGATTGCTTGTGGGACACAGCTGTGTACAATTGGCTGCTGCGTTTTGCACACAAAATAGCCAATTCACTTTACAGTAGATCCTTTATTATTATAGTCCTAATCACCTTGGAGCTAACTCAATGCAAAATGAACACACTTACCTTTCCCCCCACCTCCCCCCACTACACCCCACCCAGATAAAGCCCTTACTGAAACCTATCATAATATTGTCATGTTTACAATTTCAGGTGTCAGCCTGGCTCAGTCAGTAGCACTCGTGCCTCTGAGGCAGTAGGTTCAAGGCACATTTGGGGTCCAATCTAAGCTCCATTGCAGTGCTGCAGGTGGTGTGCTGCATTTTTGGAAGTGCCGGCTTTTAGATGAGATGTTAAACTGAGGCCCCCCATCTGACAGTTCAGGTGGAAGTTAAAGGTCCTTTGATGCTACTTCGAAAGAGAAGGGAGTTTCTCCTGGTGCCCTGGCCAACAATCACCACAAACAAAAATTGGTCATTTGCATTTGTGGGACATTGTTGTGTACTGTCACCACATTTTACATTATCTTACAAAATGCTATGAGATGTCCTTCTGATGTGAATGGTGCTACGTCGAACGGAATTTTTTTTCCAAGTCACTGTAAGGCTGATCTGGATAAACTGAAGATGGGCAAATACTTCACTCTCAAGCTTTTCAGGTTCAAACCCCTTCATGGCCTTACCTCACTGAGACTTCCTACTGCCCCAGCCTCGCTTTCCATTCAGATAACACATAACCACTCCACCGTCAATGAACGAGCTTTCATCCATTCTGCTCCTGCTCTTCGGAACTCCATCCCAGTGTCCCTTTGACTCCCTCCCTCCCTTCTGCACCTTTAAGGCCTGGTCTATAGATGTGTCTTTTGAACTGTGCTTTCTGTTGCCTTTACTCCGCAGTCTCTCACCCCACCCCCACCCTGCCACACCACACCCACCTAGATTTCCTGTCATTAGGTACGAGTTGTGAAAGTCCATCATGCCCATGCCCACAACGTGGATGAAATCCTCAATCACTTCCATCAGCTCCACCGAACCAGGATAAATCTGTGTACAGAAAGGATTCATTGTCGGCTCACTTCAGTTTACCACAGCAGCAGCTCCTTGCATTGACACAGCGCTCTTCACGTAGGGTTTGCGCCTCGGAGCACTGCATAGTGGATCCCGAGCAAGGGAAGAGGGGGAGAGGGAGGTAACCATAGGTGCATTTCATGAGACAAGTTACTAACATCTCCGCTCGACAGGCATTGTCCGGCTCCATGTCCCCCACCCTCCCTGCTCCGCTGTTTGTCAGGACTTCAGCCTTTCTGCCCCCACCCTCTGGAAATTTCCATTTGTAGTGACATGCATGGAACTCTCAGTTTGGTTCGGATACTGTTAAGCACTGTGGTGGGTTTCTGCTGCAGTCAGACACTCAACTGACAAAAAACAATCTGTGGTCTTTACTGAAAGAGAGAGTCTGCATTTTCACTTCATTTTCTGCTTCCGTTACCCTAACGTGGGATGAGACTATACCTACCATTAAGGATGATATCATGAGTGGTTTGTCCCATAAACAGAGACTGGAAGAAATGGGACTTTTTCCATTGGAACAAAGAAGGTTGAGGTGTGACCTGATAGAAGTCTTTAGAATTATTAGGGGTTTTGATAGAATCAATAGGGAGGAATTATTTCCACTGGTCGTGGAGTCAGTGACTAGAGGGCATTAGTTGAAGATAGTAAACAAGCAAATGGGGAGGTTAAAAGAATTTTTGCACATGCACAGTAGTTAGGGACATGCAAATATCCTGCCGGGAACAGTGGTTGAGCCAGGATCTATATTAGCCTTTAAAAAGGTAGATAGATATCTAAAAATGGATCAATTACAAAGGTATGGGGAAAGGGCAGATAGGTGGCACTGAAAGTATTGCTCTTGAGGGTGTCAAAACACTTATGAGAGGCCAAATGGCCCTTGTCTGTGCTGTAAGTTTCTATGGTTCGAAACTATGCCCAACATCAAAACAGGCCCCAGCGAATGCTTTACCTGTTGTGCGTCATTCCACTTGCCTCTGTTTTCCTCCTCGAGAAGGTTGCTGATGATTTGGAAAAAGTTCTGTTGGCATAAACAAGGGCGACTCACATCAGCAATACTTGACACAAGTTAGATTTAATAATAATAATTCTTGCATTGCATATAGCTCTGTATCAAGTTGTCCCGATGTCGCAAAGTGTTTTACAGGATATACTGAAAAGTGACTTCGACTGTGTCATTTGTGGGCAAAATGCAGAAGCCAGTTTGCACACAGCAATATCCCACCAACACCAATGGAGTGAATGATCAATTCTATTTGAGGGTTTGTTGGTCAGGACACCAGGAGAAACTCCCTTCTCTTTTCAAATCGTGCCATAGGATCTTTAATATCCACCTGATCAGGCAGATGGGACCTCGGTTTAACATTTCATCTGAAGGATGGCACCTCCGAAATAGAACTGCCCCCCGCACTGCCCTTGAGTGTCAGCTTGGACTATGCGATTCCAAGTCCCGACATGAGGCTTGAACTCACAACCTTCTGACTCAGAGGCGAGAGCGCTACCACTGCGCCAGGCTGGTATGTTACCTGCACGTCATCAGATGACGGGACATAAATTGCCCTTTTGAAAGTATCGGTGACATTTCGAAGGATTTCAACTGAAGCCAAAAGATCTCCACCATAGAAATTCCTCCTCTGGGTCAAATCCAGGAGGGTTTTGGTGACTTGAGACATTCCTTCCCCTGCCAGCATCCTTTGTCCCTTTGCGAGGTGCTCTTTGACCTAAAAACAAAACAGACGCACAGAAATACTTTTGTTTAGAGATTGCAAAATGTTTATTTGATATTAGTGCGACCGGATCAAAGAGAATTTCGAATGCCATTGCAGTTATCTGGAGACCCGGAATCCCACCAGTTTATAGCCTGTGTTCAAATCCTTCCACTGTTTCATGATTTCCATTAACTCTACAGTCACCACCGCTCTCTGCACTATAGGGTACTTATGCGACAATAACCACAACAGTAATGGGTCAATCAATCATTTAGTTCAATCATCCACAATACAATGGTAACAATCTCAACCAAGTACAGTTATAACGAATTTAAGGTTGTGTAATGTAATAGCGATTAACTTAGAGATAATTGGTATTTAATCAGTTTATTTTCTCTGGCTGGAAGTTGCCATTATCTTTGGCCAATACATGTTTTTTTAAGGCATTTCTCTTCCCGAAATTTTTATAGCCCCAAAGTTTGGTCACATGACTATCAAAATTTACAATTTACCCAATTTGAGTTCACAGTTTGATTACCCAATGATATTCCACACAAGGGTGCACCCCTAGGTTATCATGTCTTGACCTTACAGAAATTTGGAGGCTCTTTCATGTTCTGATGTATTGAGAGAGAGGAGTTCATCTCGAGGTTTGGGGATCTGAGACTGTAAGTTGGGATACTGATGCAATTTAACCAGCTAAAACCTCATGGCTTGCCATTGAGATCACGATCTGGGAACCCTTCCTGCTACTTGTCCAGCTCGGACCACCATATCCATTAGGACTTTGGCTTGCGAGGTTAACAATGCAGACCCATCTGGCTCAGTAACTGAACTGCTGTACAGTCAAAGAGGATTGACTCGAGTGTGACATTCTGTGGCCAACCACATTACCTTATGTAATAATAATCCTTGCATTTGATACAGCTTCATTGAGGGGTCTCAAAAGTGCTTCACAGAATATATCGTAAAGTGGAGTGACTGCGTACTTTGTGAGCGAAACGTGGCAGCCAATTACACACAGCAATGTCCAACAAACAGTCGTGGATTGAGTGACCAAATTTATTTTTTAATTTTTGGAGGAATTATCACCACCAGAAAGCGATCTGGCAATCAACTAACAATCAGGTTATTACTTACTGCTAGGTAAACCAAGGAGTTTGGAGTAAGGAAACTTCCTACCTGGGAATCAAACCCAGGTCCTCTCATTTGCAAGGTGAACGAACCAACCTAATTGCTACAGGACACCACCGTGGAAACAGGAGATACTGCTTACATGCTCTAAGGAGAAGTATTCACTTGTTGCTTAATAGGAAAACTGAATGAAATATCCCGCAGGCTACTGCTATGTATAGTATGTGCTTTGCTCTATGCTGACATGAATTCAGAAAGATTGCACTCTGCACAGCTGTTGCCGAAAACCCACGAACATTCATGCAGATTAATTCACAGTTAATTAAAATCAACTAATAAATATTCCCTTTTATGCAAATAACTTGTCGGCTGCACTCGGCTTGGATCCGCATTAAACTATACAAACAAGCTAATTATTTTTAAAATATGCACGTTTCAGAGAGATGCCATTTAGGGCTCGGAGACCTTTTAAAGAAAAAAGAGACACTGTCAGATATCTTTATATCTTTATAGGCACCAACAAATATAAGAATTGTCACCTACTCATGAACTATATTGATATAATAGTATTGCAGCATTCCGAGGCTATCCTGGGTGAAGGGCGCTGTAGAAATTCCAATTGTTGTTTCTGATATAATTTAAGTTTCACTTTATCATGGATTCAATGCAATTATAAGACCAATAATCGTTGCATTTGATATAATGCCTTATCACATTGATGAAGAGTCTCAAAGCACTCTACAGAATATATTGTAAAGTAAATTGAATATGTATTTTGTGGGCGAAACATGACATCCAAATGCGCACAGTCGTGGATTGAGTGACCAATTTTATTTTGAGGAGTTATTTCTTCAGGAAAGTGATTTTCTCTGACAGGGAACGGATGGGGCCATAGGAACAAGGAGGGTCACAGAGCAGTAATTCAACAAATTGCCTTGGATGTTGATAACTTTGCACTATACAAAGTAGAAACATAGAAATCCACAGCCAGAAGTGGGCGATTCGGCCCATCAAGCTTACACTGGCTCAGAGCAAGGTGATCGGTTCAATCCTATTGCCCAGCCTTATCCCCAAACTCCTTCAAGACCCTCTCTTTCATAATCTATCTACTTCCCTGTTGAAAGGTACAATGGACTCTATCTTCACCACTTTACTAGGTAAGGCATCCCAACAGCCACATCCCAACTACTATCTATGTGAAAAAATTCCTCTTAACTTCTCCTTTGGGTGTTCTTTAATTATCTTAAAACTATATCCCCTACTTACTGACTCCCCTATCAATGGAAATAACTTCTCCTTATTCACACTAACAAAACCTCTCATAATTTTGTATATTTCAATCAGTCACCTTCTTATTAAAATATTAAATTATTAGCTATAAGTTATTACTGAGTTATCTGATTTTAAGTGGGGCCAGTAATAAAGTCATGCACTATTATCTAGATAGACACTTATCTCCTTTCATTGCCACTGGTCAATAACCTGACTGAAACTCCCTGACCAACACCATCATGTTGTGTTTATATAGTGTCTTTCACACAGGATAACATCTTAAAGTGTGATCGGATGCTCAGTGGGGGAGGGATGGTGGTGACAAGGGAGGTGACTATAAGTGCAGTCAAAGATAATAATATTAATACTTGCATTTAGTATAACGCCTTATCACATGGGAATGACATCTCAAAGCGCTTCACAGGAATAACTGAAATGGAGTGACTGTATATTTGCAGGCAAACTCGGCGGCACAATTGCGCACAGCAATTTCCGTGAACAATCATGAAATCATGAAATGAGTGCCCACTTTTATATGGGGGATTACTGGCCAGGACACCGGGAGAAAGAAACTCCCTTCACTTTTTGAATTGTGCCGTGGGATCTTTAGCATCCACCTGAACAGCGGTCTTGGTTTAAAGTCTCACCCGAAGGACGGCACCTCCGACAACCTAACGCTCCCCCAACACTGCACTTGAGCATCAGCCTAGGCTGTCCAAGTTCAAAGCTCTGATGTGGAGCTTGAACCCACAACCTTCTCACTCAGAGACGAGAGTGCTCCCGACTGAGCCAGACTGACACCTACCCAAGCATGCGTGTCCACCTACAAGAAGTGAACCTGTCGCAAGCATTCGCAGCGGCAGCCAAGCGCTGAGGTTCTGCTTGCTGCACTTGTGCCCTGGGTAAAGCAGGAGGTAAAGGAGCTGACTTTGCACCTACTGAATGCTGTAAGTATCTGTATTCGTTCGATATGCATCTGGCAAAGCTGGGCGGATCCCAGTGAGCGACGCCATTGTAGTCGAGTGAGCAGCGTCTGCTGGTGGTTCCTGTAAGTCGGAAAAGCAGAAAGACAATAAAATAATGACAATAGCGCTTTATCATTTGGTCGAGACGTCTCAAAGCGCTTCACTGGGTATCCTGTAGAGTGGAGGCCTTCCTCAACTGAGCCTTCAAGCATAACCTTCTATTCCTTTCTCCCTCATGTACCTATCGAGCTTTCCCTTAAATACATCTATGCTATTTGCCTCAACAACTCCTTGTGGTAGCATGTTCCACATTCCCACTACAACAACAAGATTCCATTTATAAAGCGCCTTTCACGTCAGGAGGACGTCCAAGGCACTGCACAGTTGGGTCATGACCCGAGCAGGGGGGGAATGGTCAGGGTGAGGGGAGGGAGGGAGCAAGGAGGGGGTAGAGAGTCGAGAGGGGAGCTGAAGGCACGGTCAAAGAGAAAGGTTTTGAGACTGGCCTTGAAGGAGGAGAGGGAGGAGGCAAGGCGAAGGCACTGGGGGATAGAGTTCCAGAGCCTCGGGGCTGAGAGGCTGAAGGCCCGACCACCGATGGTAGCGTGATTGGGGCGGGGGACGTGGAGCAGACCGGAGCCGGAGGAACGGAGGGTATGGGCAGGTAGGTAGGGGGATAGTAGGTTGGAGAGGTAGGAGGGAGCAAGGCCGTGAATGGCCTTGTAGGTGAGGATGAGGATCTTGAAATCAATCCTCTGGGGGATGGGGAGCCAGTGGAGGCGAGCGAGGGTGGGAGTGATGTGGTCGCGAAGCCTGGTGCGGGACAGTACACGAGCTGCAGAGTTCTGAATGACCTGCAGTGTGGAGGGAGGTGGCGGGAAGGCCGGCGAGGAGAGAGTTCCCATAGTCCAGCCTTGAGGTGACAAAGGCGTGGACCAGGGTTTCAGCAGCGTGAGGGGTGAGGTAATGCCGTAGTCTGGCGATGTTCCGGAGGTGATGGAAGGCGGTGCCAGTTGTGGTGCGGATGTGAGGGAGAAAGGACAGCTCAGGGTCGAACAAAACGCCGAGGTTCCTGACTGGCTTTGAGAGGTGGAGAGTGCAGCCTTGGATGCTGATGGTGTCGGCGCCTGAGGTGCGGAGGCGCTGACGTGAGCCAATCAGGAGGGCCTCGGTTTTTCGCACGTTGAGCTGAAGAAAGTTGTCTCTCGTCCAGGACTCGATGTCGGACAGGCAGCTGTCAGGACATCGGTGGTCGTGGAGTTGAGAGTAGAGGAGGAAAGGTAGAGTTGGGTGTCATCCGCATACATGTGGAAGTTAACTCCATGTCTGCGGATGATGTCACCAAGGGGGAGCATATAGAGGGTGAAGAGGAGGGGACCGAGGACAGAGCCCTGAGGGACACCACATGAGACAGTGCGGGGGGTGGAGGAGAAGCCATTTGTCGAGACAAAGTGAAGACGGTGAGAAAGGTACGACCTAAACCATCAAGGACAGTGCCTTGAAGGTTGAGGTGGGAGGACAAGCGGTGGAGTAGGATAGCGTGGTCGACCGTATCGAATGCTGCCGATAGGTCGAGGAGGACGAGGAGGCAGAGGGAGCCCTGGTCACAGATGGTCAGGATATCATTGGTGACCTTGACCAGGGCAGTTTCTGTGCTATGGGCAGCACGGAAACCTGACTGAAGGGGTTCGAAAAGTGAATGGGTGGAAAGGAAAGAGCGCAGTTGGGAGGCGACAACTCTTTCCAGGACCTTGGAGAGAAAGGGGAGGTTGGAGATGGGCCGGTAGCTTGATAGCTGCGACGCATCAAGGGAGGGTTTTTTCAGGGTGGGCGTGATGGTGGCAGTTTTTAAGGGAATGGGGACAGAGCCAGAGGAGAGGGACAGGTTGACAATGTCGGTGATATGTGGGGCAAGAAAGGGGAGCTGGGAGATAAGGAGTGGAGTGGGGATGGGGTCAAGGGAGCAGGTGGTTGGTTTCAGGGATAGGATGAGTTTGGTGACAGAGGGTGGGGAAACGGGTACAAAAGTGAGTAGGGGAGGATGGGTAGCAGTCGGAGTGTGGGAGTGAGGGGTGGGGGTTGGTGGATGTTGGAGGGGAAGTGACCGCGGAGCGAATTCCCTTGATCTTGGATTCAAGGAAATCCAGCATCTCCTCGCAGTGAAGGTTGGAGGAGATGACCTGCGCGGGGTGGCGGGGGGGACGGAGGAGTCGGGTTGTGGTGGAAAACAGTAGCCTGGGGTTGTTCTTCGCCTCCAGGATTATCCTGGAGCAGAAGGACGACTACTCCCTGTGTGAAGAAATTTCTTCTAACTTCCCTATTTGATCCACTTGTGACTATTTTATATTGATGGCCCCTGGTTTTGCTCTCCCCCAGCGGCACAACACCTTCCCTATGTCTACCCCAGCAAAACTTTTCATCATTTTAAAGACCTCCATCAGGTCACCCCTCACCCTCCTCTTTTCAACAGAAAAGAGTCCAAGTATGTTCAGCCTTTCCTGATAGGTTTAACCTCTCAGTTCTGGGATCATCCTTGTGAATCTCCTTTGCACCCTCTCCAGTGCCTCTCCATCCCTTCTATAATGTGGGGACCAGAAGTGCACACAGTATTCTAAGTGTGGTCTAACCAAGGTTCAATGGCAGCTTACCATCACTTCCCTACTTTTCATTTCTATCCCTCTAGAAATTAACCCCAATGCCTGGTTTGCTTTTTTNGATGGCCTTATTAACCTGCGATGCTACTTTTAGTGAATTGTGTACGTGTACCCCTAGGTCCCTTTGCTCCTCTACCCCATTTAGGTTTTTATTTTCTAGGATATATATGTGTGTAATAATAATGACAACAAAAACAGGGAGGACATTTCAAAGTGCTTCACGATCTGGTAAATTGAGAGTGAGAGCATTAACAAGCCAATAATAACGATACTTACATTTAATTTTATAGAGGGCCTTATTACATCTGTAAAAACGTCTCAAATGATTTGCCATAAAAGTGTATTTTGTAGGTGAATGTGGCAGCATGTTTGCATTCACTAAAGTCTTACAATCAGCCTTGAAATGAGTAACTAATTTCATCAGGGGATTGCTGGACAGGACATAGCACTATGAGATCTTTACCATTTAACTGAACAAGTGCAGAAGGGACCTTTGTTTTAACATCTCATTGGAAAGATGGCACCACTGACAATGCAGCGCTCATCCCAAGCACTGCAATTACAGTGTCATCCAAGTTCATAATAATAATAATCCTTGCATTTGGTATCGCGCATTTCACGTCTTCTGGACGTCCCAAAGCGCTTCACAGAAACTATACTGTAAAGTGAATTGACTGTATATTTGTGGGCGAACGCGGCAGCCAATTGCGCACAGCAATGTCCCACAAACAGTCATGGATTGAAAATGACCAATTTATTATTGTTTTTGGAGGGATTATTATTAGGCGTGTGGAGTAAGGAAACTTGCCCAAGGTTTCGCCCTCTGCCTGGAATTGAACTCGGGTCTCTCACTTGCAAAGCGAGTGCTCTAACCACTGAGCTACAGGACTTCACATTTATGAATATACTCTAAAGTGAATTGACTGTGGGCAAAACATGACTGCCAATTGCGCCCAGCAGTGTCCCACAACCAGTCTTGGATTGAAGTGACCAATTTATTATCTTTTTTTGAAGGAATTATTATCCCCAGAAAAGTGATCCACCAATTGACTAACAACTGGGCTGTGCTTACTGCTAGGTAAACAGAGGTGTGTGGAGTAAGGAAAGTTTCCCAACATTAGATTGCGAGTTCCAAGTTACCAACATGGGGCTTCAACCCACAACCTACTGAACCAGAAGGCGAGAGTACAACCAATTGAGCTAGGTTCATAAGCAGTGAAATTTCAGGTCTGTTAGTTAGAATGAGGAGGCTACCCTACCTGTAGCATTCGGCGGACACCGGTTGGAAGCAAAATCTCCAGCGGCAGTTCTCCTCCACACCATAGACAGAAGATAATCCTCTGGGCAGATCTCATAGGGTGCTGAAAAGAAAGACAAGCTGAATAAATTACCTTGATATCAGCAATAGTTTCCAGCAACTCATTTTTTTGGTCAGCTGGATGTCTGACACATTCAGGAGCTCATCACCGTGCTTAAGAGTATCCAAACCAAGCTGAGAATTCCATGCATCCCACCTACACGTGGGAATCCAAGAGGTAGACTGTTGGGATGGAATGCGCACTCTCTCCTTTGAGGGATGCATCCGGCTTACTTAACTGCGGAAAATATTAGGCGCAGGTTGGCAGGAGCCAAGGCTTCGCCCACAAAATATACAGTCAATTGACTTACAGTATATTCGGTGAAGCGCTTTGAGATGTCTCGAAGACGTGATAAGACGCTATACCAAATGTAAGGATGCACACAAAATACTGATGTCGCTGAGCGAGTGCAGGGCACATTAGAATTCAGTGCACAGCTTCATCGTATTGCAATAGCTGGCACTTAGCTAATTGTTTTCCGCTGGCCATTGTTGGCACTGACAGAGACATAAATACATGCTGTTTTATGACTTCTTTTCGAGAATTTCTTGAGAAAGCTAGGAGACCAAGATGAAACCAGCAGTCAGGACCACACCCTGTGGGGCCTTGTTAAACAATCAAATAATAATAAATACAGAATCCTTACATTTTGTAATTTACATTTCATATCGGGGGGACATCCCAAAGCATTTTACAGGATTTACTGTAAAGTGTAGTGCCAGTTGTTTTTGTGGGGTTGAACACGTTCAGGATTGGGATGCTGAAAAACAGAATATCTCTCTCGCCCGCACTCCATTAATCATCAATAATAATAAATTATAATAATAATCCTTGCATTTGATATAGTCCATTCCAAGTCTGGAGGACGACTCAAAGTGCTTCACGTCATTCATGGTAAAATGTTTTGGTTTTTTTTGTTGGCAGCCAATTTGCACTGGGCAATGTCCCACAAGCAGCCATAAAGTGGATGATCATTTTTCATCTGAGGGATGGTTGGCCAGGAACATCGGGAGAAACTACCTTCATTTTTCTAATAGTGCCTTGGGATCTTTAATGAACAAGACTCACAGGAGTTCGGGTTAACATCTCATCTGAAGGACAGCACCTCTGATAATGCCGTGTAGGATTGATGATGTTAATTTCAGCTCTATACTTGCGAAAAATCCCAAGACCCATTAACCATTTTTTATTGCTCTCTGCACCTGCCACCTAACTTTAATGACTTACGAAACCTGCGAAGTTCCAAAATTCCACCTAATCTTAGGCTGTCAGAATCTCTGCTTTAACATTTCAGGCTGTGCAGAATTGTGGAAAATTCTTCAATTCCGTTTTAATTAGGAAGCCGATTTTATCGCAGTTATCAAAAAAAACCAGCTTCCAAATTAAGACTGCATTAAACGAGGGAATTTCTCCCAGTGTCCTGGCCAACAAACCCCCAAATAAAAATTATAATAATAATACTTGCATTTGGTAATATATAAATATAATAATCCTTGCATTTGATATTGTACCTTATCATGTCTTCAAGTTACCTCAAAGCGCTTCACGGAATATATTGTGAGGTAAATTAACTATGTTTTGTGGGTGAAACTCGGCAGCCAATTGTGCATAACAGTGTCGCACAAACAGTCGTGGATTGAGTGACCAAATTATTATTTTATTTGAAGGAATTACTACCCCGGAAGAACGATCGTCAAATCAATAACAATCGGGTTCCTACTTACTGCGAGGTAAACAGAGGTGCGTAGAGTAAGGAAACTTGCCCAACGTTTCGCCCTCCTGGGAATCGAACCCAGGTCACTTACTTGCGAGGCGAGCACTCAACCCACTGAGCTACATGATTCCATTTTGGTATAGCGCCTTTCACATTGGGAGGACGTCATAAAGTGCTTCACAGGATTGCATTTACTACTTCAAGGAGCAGCACTGAGACTTGTGCAAGCGATCACAATTTATTGAACTGGCAGAGGCAAATGGCACAAAATAGCAACCATACATCCACAGAAGACCACTTTTCCTCATTAGTCTGCAGAAAACATTGATGCACACTTTTTCTGGGAAGCACGATTACCGTAAGTGAATGGGGTTAAGGTGGACTTAACCTTAACCCCGGGTCTGGAATTCACTGCCTGAAAGGGTGACGGCGACAGATTCAATAACAACTTTCAAGAGGTAATTAGACAGGTACTTGAAAAGGAAAAATTGAAGGATTATGAGGAAAGAGCGGGTGAGTTGGACTGATCGGGTAGCTTTTCCAAAGAGCTGGCACAGGCACATTGGGCTGAATGGCCTCCTTCTGTCGTACTCAATCGTACTCCACCAGATCGATTTCAAGATCCTCACAGTGACTTACAATTCAATTCCTAGATCCCTGGAACCTGACGATCTCTCTCCCGTATGCTCAGCTAGCTCCGGCCTCCTGCATGTCCCTCACCCACTCCACCATTGGTGGCAGTGCTTTCAGCCACTCTGCCCAGAGACTCTGAAACTCTCTGCCTCAATCCCTCTATCTTGCCTCCTCCTTGCATGTCTTATAATAATAATCCTTACATTTGATACAGCGCCTTATCACATATTTGAGACATCTCAAAGCGCTTCTCAGAATATACCGTAAAGTGAATTGAGTGTATAGTTTGTGGGCGAAACACGGCAACCAACTGTCCCACACACAGTCGTGGATTGAGTGACCAATTTTTTTTGAAGGAATTATTATCCCCGGAAAAGTGATCCGCCAATCGACTAATAATAATAATCCTTGCATTTGATATAGCGCTTTTCACGTCTTCTAGACTTCCCAAAGTGCTTCACAGAATATACTGTAAGTGAATTGACTGTAAATTTGTGGGCGAACGCGGCAGCCAATTGCGCACAGCAATGTCCCACAAATAGTCGTGGATTGAAAATGATCAATTTATTATTGTTTTGTTTTGGAGGGATTATTATTAGGCTCTGTGTGGAGTAAGGAAACTTGCCCAAGGTTTCGCCCTCTGCCTGGAATTGAACTCTTTTATGCCTCTAGCACGGATCCAAGTCAGGCATTCCACATCCTAACAACCTTCATCTGTAATAAAATGATAACTCTGACTGAGGCGCCATCTGCCTGTTCAGGTGGATATTAAAGATCCCAGGGCACTAATGGAAAGTTCCTCCCGGTTCTTGACCAACAATCCCCCAAATAAGATGGGTCACTCACTCCATTGGTGCGTGTGGTATGTTTTAAAAGTTTTTGTCTATTGACACTTTAAAGTGTATTATTATTATTACCCTGAGAGGCACTTTGCAATGTCCTCTCGACGTGAGGTGCCATTTCAAATGTAAAGATCCTTTGTTATTGCTCCTTGCATTTAATATGGCACCTACTGCATTGAAGAGTCTGTACCGTTTAGTGACTGTGTATTTGTGAGGCAGACAATTTGCACCCATCAACATCCAACAAACAGCGGGAGCCTGATGAATGTCCAATTCATCTATAGGCAAGAGGGCTGCCTTGTGAGTCGGGCTGACCTAGTTTCCATAATTCCAGATCGTCACAAATTTGGGGATAATGGCTTCAAGTCTGAGAGAGAAGTCCTACGAACTGACTAGCAATTAGCCTCGAGTGCATCTCGCTTCACATTACAAAGGTTTTTCCCTCTGTTGGCGGTGTTTTTCATGAGCACAATGCTATTCCCCCACGCAAACCGTGTGGTGTTTGGGCAGGTTTCCATGGCGATGCTCCACAATCAGCAACGCTGCATCAAAGGCCTCTCTTGCAAAAAAGAGCGAGGCTTGGAAGCCATTAGTCTCGCAAATTAAAACAAAAGGAGGAGGATGATGAGAGAGCGAGAGAGAAAGAGAGAGGAGTAAACAATTGTTGGATTTAAGCCCTACTAGTGTGGGCTGCATCACCATGGAGATGGGCAGGAGAGAAAGCGAGAGGCATTTTATCTACAGTTGACTTTCTTGTCAGTGATACTTTCCTTCTCAAAGCTACATATACCCAACGGAGAAGACACTGTGGACGACTATTTGTGGTCCTTCTTAGATGTATTCTGATGTTAATGCATCTAAAGTGTCAGCCTAGCTCAGTGGTAGCCCTCTCATCTCTCAGTCAGAAGATTATGGGTTCAAGCTCCACGTCGAGACTTGGAATCACATAGTCTAAGCTGACACTCCAACGCAGTGCTGGGATATATTGCAGTGTCGGAGATGCCGTCGTTTGGATGAAATGTTAGACCGAGGTCCTGTCTGCCTGTTCAGGTGAATGTTAAAGATCCCATGGCACTATTCGAAAAGAGGAGGGAGTTTCTCCTGGTGTCCTGGCCAACAATCCCCCAAATAAAGTTGGTTACTCACTCCATGGCTGTTTGTGGGACACTGCTGTGTGCAACTGGCTGCCACATTTTGTCCACAAAATATGCAGCAAATCCACTTCACAGTATATCCTGTGAAGTGCTTTGAGACCCTTCAACGACTTGATAAGGCGCTGTATCAAATGCAAGGATTATTATTATTATTAATTGGCAAGAGGAATGAGTAGAACTATATAGAGTGATACAGCACAGAATCAGACAAGTGATTGAAAGACAGAAGTGCTACCGACGGGGCCAGGCTGACACCTAAAAAAAACATAACGTTCTCTTTGTAATGGATGAAGACCTTTATCGGTTGGAAGGGCAGGAAATGAGATTGATTCGCAGAAAAAATTCGATTAAACTTCGTCTCACAAATGGAATGAATTTTCCCCAAAAGAAAGGTTGAAAAGTCAATAAAAGAACATGTTTATTTTTCAACTTCTCCCCTGAGGCTGGGAGGATTTGTTCAGCACAGCAGCGTACCAGCCAGCGGGGAAAGCTGAAGGCTCTCACTATTCAGTCTCTGCTAAGTTTGCAGAACAGCACAGAGATAGGCCACTCAGGTCCATTAATTCTGCACTGGTGCTTTCCTCCAAAATCAGCAACCTTCTCTCCTTCCTACCTACCTAACCGGCTGCACCTTTTGCTTAGCGGGTTCCGGCTTGCTTCATGTCCTCCCACCCTACTCGCCTTCAGCCTTTCTGCATCCGTTCTCTGGAACTCCATCCTAGAAGCCCTCCAACTTGCTCTCTCATTCACCTCGTTCAAGCTCCATTTGAAGACCTACCTCTTTACCCCACGCTTTTGTTCATCTTTCCCCTCTCCCACTCCCCTCAATTCCCACCCCCATCTCGATGCCAAGCCAGTGTGGTTTAGCACCTCTGTAAGTCCATCCAATGTGAAATGCACTGTATAAATGTAAATTAGTATTGTAGTCTAGTCCCACAACCGCAAATAGAGCTGGAGACCACAATTTTTTTTACAATAGTGTGGGTATTAGTAACGATGGGATCATAAAGGCTGAAGGGCCTCTTAACCCAAACTAATCTTGAAATCTTACGAAAAGATACTGAATGGTTTTGTGTCCTACAACAGATAATAACATAATAATAATAATCCTTGCATTTGATACCGCACTTTTCACGTCAGGAAGATGTCTCAAAGTGCTTCAGGATTTTACTGTAAAGTGAAGTAACTATTTTGCTCTGGATGTTATTACAATAATCCTAATAATTGATTATTGCATGATTATTGTAATTGGTTGCTGTATTTCACCTCACAAAATACACAATCAATCCACTTTACAATATATCCTGTGAAGCGCTTTAAACCGTCGCAACGATATGATTAGGCGCTATATCACATCGAGTCCTGTAGCTCAGTGGTTTAAAAAAATAATAAATTGGTCACTCAATCCAGCACTGTTTGTGGGACTCTGCTGTGCGCAATTGGCTGCCGCGTTTCGCCCACAAAATATACAGTCAATTCATTTTACAATATATTCTGTGAAGCGCTTTGAGTCATCTGGAAGACGTGATAAGATGCTGTATCGAATGCAATGATTATTAGTATTATTTTTAATTATCATCCTTGAATTTTCATTTTTTAGCGCAGTGATTAGCGCACTTGCCTCGCAAGTGATAGGACACGGGTTCGATTCCCGTGCAAGACGAAACCTTAGGCTTACTCCACACCCTTCTGTTTACCTGGTAGTAAGGACGTACCTAGTTGTTAGTCGATTGGCAGATACTCAATCCGTTATTATTTTGTGGGACACAGCTGCGCATAATTGGCCGGTGCATTTCTCACACAAAATATACTGTCAATTCACTTTACAGTGTGAGAGCTTTGAGACATGTTAACGACATGATAAAGTGCAACATCCAATGCAAGGATTATTATTATTATTATATTATATTAAACAAAACTCAAATTTGAATTTTCCTCTCTGGACAGGCAATGATTAAGAGAGGAACTGATAGAGTCTTTAAGTGTTTAAGACTGTGAAAGGATTTGAGAAGGTGGATGTTAATAGACTGTTTAACAGTTGTTTTTGACTTACCTGGGCATCTCCTTTCACTGCACTTGTGCACCTCTTCGCCTAAGCCTTCGCAGGCTTTGCCAGTCAGAGCTTGGCCCTGGCACACTCGCACTCTCCTCTGCCAGCCCCCGTCACACGACCTTGAGCACGTGCTCCAGTGGCCCCATGGGTTCCACTTGCCGTTCTCTTCAAACAACAACAAATTGCAATTTACAGGGTCTTTCACTTCAGGAGGACATTCCAAAGCACTGGACAGTCAAAGATTCGCACCCAAGCTGGGGGTTGGGGTCAGGAGGGATGGAGGGCAGGTGGGGTCAGGAGGGATGAGGGCAGGGAAAGGAGGGTGACCGAAGTCACAGTTGAAGAGAAGGGTCTTGAGATGGCTCTTGAAGGAGGCAAGGCAGGAGGTGAGGTGAAGGGACTGTGGGATGGAGTTCTAAAGGGTAGGGACAGTAAGTGAATCATCTAATAGAACGGCAGTCCAGGATCAAGGGGCTGAATGGCCTACTCCTGTTTCGATGTTCCTAGCTCTATATTGGTGCTAATTCATTAGCAGGTTGTTGGTGCCCAAATAGCACTTAGGGCTGAAACTTCAAACAACCCTCATTGGAGTCCAGCTCTTGATAGCGACATTGATTGATTCAGGCATAAGTCAAAATAAACGAACACACTCATTTACACCTAAGTGGAGTGCCTATATCCATAGAAAACAGGGACATGGTTTATCCCCCTATCACATAACCTTTGTTCAGAACCTGTTGAGGTAATGGGCTGTATCGTGCCCTACACATAATATAGTGTCTCAAAGTGCTGCACAGTGACAGAATTGGAGGCCAAGCAAGGAGGAAGGGGGCGGTGAAGAGGCAGGTTTTCAGAAAAGAGAGATAAAGAGGGTGTGAGGTGATGGACTGGGGCAGGTGATTCCAGAGGTTATGAGCATAAAGGCTAAAGCCTCATCTGTAGGAATCGGGAGAAATGCAACTCGCTTGTATGCACTGAATGAAAGGGTCGGATAGAGGAGAGGAGGACAACAACAAATTGCATTTATATAGGCCATTCACAAGGGAGCGACATAGATTCATAGAATTATACAGTACAGGTGGAGGCCGTTTTTACCCATTGTGTCTGTGCCGGCTCTTTGAAAAGAGCTATCCAAATCAATCCTACTCCTCGCTCTCTCCCCATAGCAAACTTGTCCTCCCCAAATAATTATCTACTTCGCTCTTAAAAGTTGTTAGTGAATCGGCTTCCACCAGCCTTTCAGGCAATGCATTCCAGATCCGAACAACTAGCGTGTGAAAAATTTTCCCCTCACCTCCCCTCTGTTTCTTTTAAAAGCTATTTTAAATCGGTGCCCTACCGACCCACCTGCCAGTGGAAACAGTTTCTCCTTGTTCACTCTATTGAATCCCCTCATAATTTTGAAAACTTCTATTAAGCCTCCTTTTAACTTTTTAATCTCTGCTCCAAGGAGAATAATTCCAGCTTCTCTACCTCTCCTGATAACTGAAGTCCCTCATTCCTGGTACCATCCTGGTAAATCTCCTTTGCACCCTCTTCAATGCTTGAGATCCTTCCTAAAATGTGGGGGCCAGAACTGAATAACAGTCTCCAGTGTTTTAGGATAATCATAACTTCCTGACTTTTGTATTTTATGCCCCTATTTATAAAGCCCAGTATCCCGTATGCTTTTTTAACAGCTTTATCTACCTGTCCTGCCACCTTCAAAGATTTACTGATATGAACCCCAGGTCTCTCTGTTCCTTCACCTCCTCTAAGATACTATCAGCTTATATTGCCTCTCCTCATTCTTTGCATTTGCATTTCTCCACACTAAACTTCATCTGCCACGTGTCTGCCCATGTTACCAGTCTGTCTATGTCCTCTTGCAGCCTACTACTATCCTCCTCACTGTTTACTACTTTTCGTAGCTTAGTATCATCTGCAAAATTGGAAATTGTACTCCCTATACCCAAGTCCAGGTCATTTATATAGATCAAACACAGCAGTGGTCCCAATACTGATCCCTGGGGGATACCACTGCACACTTCCCTCCAGTCAGAAAAACGACCGTTCACCACCACTCTCTGCTTTCTGTGTCCCAGCCAGTTCTGTATCCATGCTGCCACTATTCCTTTAATACTGTGGGCTTCTATTTTGCTAACAAGTCTCTTATGTGGCACTTTATCAAACGCCTTTTGAAAATCCATAGAAACTATATCACCTACCTTCATTCACACTCTCCAAAAAGCTCATCAAAAAGCTCTATCAGGTTTGTTAGACATGATTTGCCTTTAAGAAATCCATGTTGGCTGTCCTTCATTAACCCATATTTTTCTAAGTTATTTTGTCCCAGATTATAGCCTCTAGAAGTTTCCCCGCTACTGACGTTAGGCTGACTGGCCTGTCGTTCCCGGGTTTATCCTTCTGCCCTTTCTTGTACAGAGGAGTAACATTTGCAACCCTCCAGTCCTCTAGCACCAGCCAGGTGTCCAAGGAGGATTGAACGATTGTGGCCAGAGCCTCCGTTATTGCCACCCTAACTTCCCTCAGTAACCTAGGATGCATCCTGTCCAGACCGACTTATCTACCTTGAGAACCGACAACCTTTTTAGTACCTCCCTCTCTGTTTATTCTTATCTTATCCAATCTTCTGATGAAGGATTGTGGACCTGAAACGTTGACTCACTTTCCTTTCTCCATAGATGCTGCCTGACCTGCTGAGTGTTTCCAGCAACTTCTATTTTTGTTTTCAATCTTTCGTTCCAGTCCACCTTGGCTAAGTCCCTTTTTAATTCACTGAAATTAGTCCTCTTCCAGTTGAGTGTCTTCACCTTTGATTGCTCCTTGGTCCCTTTCCATAAGTACTCTAAACCTAATGATGTTGTGATCACTGTTTTCCACCCCAACATCTTGGAGCATCTCCGCTTTGACAAGGATGTCACAGAAGTGGGGAAGTGCAAGGGCATGAAGGGATTTGAACATGAGGGCAAGGACCTTGAAGTTATTCTGTTCGGAGACAGGGAGCCAGTGGAGCCTGTCGAGGGCTGGGGAAATGGATGTTTGGTGTGGGTGAGGGAGTTTTGTATTAGCTGTGGATGGTAGAACTAGGAAGGTCAGCAAGGAGTGTAATTACAAATACAAATGGACATTTATATAATGCCTTCCCATCATGAGGTGTTTAACAATCTTGGCTGGGCTCCCAAGCTGGAGGTTGGAGCTGAGTGGTGGGGTGGGGAGAGGGAAAGATGACCGAAAATGTGGTTAAAGAGGAAGGTCTGGAGTCGGACATTGAACGAGGTGAGGGAGAGTGGGAGTGAGTCAGAGAGCCTCTGGGGTGGAGTTCTGGAGAGTAGGGGCAGATAGGCTGAAAGTCCGTCCGCTGATGGTGGGACAGGGCACACGAAGCAGGCTGGTGCCCGCTAAGCGGGTCGGCACAGTTTAAGAAAGTCGCAGAGGTATAGCGTGAGGACGGAGGTATTTTAAAGGTGAGGACGAGGATCCATTGGGATAGAGACGTAGCACTGACATCATGCTGCCAGACCCTTGGGGTGGAGGGCTCCACAGGCTATGTACATACCTGTACACTCCAAATTGAAGCATTCCCTGCTCTCAGCCCAGTGCCCCCGGCACTCTGAACCCCCGTGGGCTGCCGCTGTGCACTGCCTGGTCCTCTGCTGGGTCCCATTAGAGCACGTCACTGAACACTCGGTCCACAGACTCCATTCCTTCCACTGGCCGTCAACTGTGAACACACAAGGAGAGGAAAAATATATAATAATAACCCTTGCATTTGATATAGTGCCTTTTCTTGTCTTCGAGACATCTCAAAGCACTTCACTGTAAAGTGAATTGACTGTATATTTTGTGGGCGAAACAAGGCAGCCAATTGCACACAGCAGAGTCCCACAAACATTCTTGGATTGAGTGACCACATTATTATTTTTGTAATCATTTTTTTAAGGTATTATTATCCCCAGAAAAGCGATCTGCCAATCAATTAATAAACAGGTTCCTACTTACTGCTAGGTAAACAGAAGCATGTGGAGTAAGGAAACTTGCTCAACATTTCGTCTTGTCCGGGAATCGAACCCAAGTCCTCTCGCTTGGGAGGCGATTGCTCTAACCACTAAGCCTGTAGGGGTTTATAGGATTTTAGCTCTTAACCCCATTCATTTTCATAAAAGAAACAGGAACAAGCATTCTTTGGTGTAAAAACATGAATGAGACAGGTGACAATAAGTTGTCCAACACGTGCCTCTCTGGGTATAAAAGAGGGAGTTTTAGTTAGTATCAGTGAAGTACAGATCCGAACGACTCCCAGCTGCCTGCTTCTCTCCCAGAGAAGGTAACTGATCACTACTTATTCTCTGAAATCTGGTTGCTACCATCATCGTGTCTTACGATAGTAGGTTGTTTGTATAATCATTGATTGTTGAATTATAATAATAGAAACAATTGTTTAACATCTACATTGTGTGCGCTCTACTACTTCATCAAAAAAAATGTGATCACTCAATCCACGACTGCTTGTGGGACACTGTTGTACGCAATTGGCTGCCATGTTTCGCCCACAAAATATACAGTCAATTTGCTTTACAGTATATTCTATGAAGCGCTTTGAGGTGTCTCGAAGAAGTGATAAGGCACTATTTCAAATGCAAGGATTATTATTGTGATCATTAAATAAAAATAGTCTCCTTATCTTTTTCATGCAAAGAGTAATGGAAATCTAGAGCACTCTTCACAAGTGGATGCTGGATCTATTCCAATTTTCAAGACTGAGTTGGGTAGATTTTTGTGAGGTCAGGGTATCAAGGAATATAGAGCAGAAGCGGGAAATTGGAGTTGAGGCATAGATCAGCCATGATCTAATAGAATGGCGGAACAGGCTTGAAAGGCTGAATGCCTGTTCCTATGTTCCTATGAATAGTGCCGTGGGATCTTTAACGTCCACCTGAACAGGCAGATAGGACCTTGGCTTAACGTCTTATCCAAAGGATAGTTTGCCTCTCCTATCGATCCCGGCAGGGCATTCCTTATCCTAACTACTCTAGCTGACTACTACACCACGGGACACAGTATGTTTTTTACTGAATAGCGCAGCTTGTAATTGCACTTTGTACTGTTCGCACAATCTGAAAGCAAATCGCAAAACAGCTGGGCCTTTGAGACGGCTGTGTAAGCACAATATGGCCTGCGGGATACCACTGAAATGTTTGAAAGAGTCAGACGCAATTTAATTTGTATGAGTTATTTTTAGCTGAGGAGACCCCATGATATCTGGGCTGTGAGCTTTCAGTGATCTGAACATGGAATAATTGAGTCTTTTTCTTTTACTTAATGGCTGGCCAGCCGCAAACTCCAACCTCCTCCCCAACCCTGTGTGATCGGAGCCTGGTTCATTTGGTAGCATTCGCACCTCGGAGTCAGAAGGTTGTGGGTTTAAGCCCCAACCTAGGACCTTGAACTCAAGGTCAATAATCCCTCAAAAAAAAATATGGTCACTCTATCTATGATTGTTTCTGGGACATTGCTGTGCACAATTGACTGCCGTGATTCACCCACAAAATATACAGTCAATTCACTTTATATTATATTCTGTGAAGCGCTTTGAGATGTCTCAACGACGTGAAAAGGCGCTGTATCAAATGCAAGGATTATTATTATTATCAATACTACTACTAATAATAATAAACCTTGCATTTGATATAGCGCCTTTCACGTCGGGAGGACGTCCCAAAGCGCTTCACAGAACACACTGTAAAGTGAATTGACTGTATATTTGTGGGCGAACGTGGCAGCCAATTGCGCACAGCAATATCCCACAAACAGTTGTAGATTGAAAATGATCAATTTATTATTGTTTTTGGTTTTGGAGGGATTATTATTAGGCTCTGTGTGGAGTAAGGAAACTTGCCCAAGGTTTCGCCCTCTGCCTGGAATTGAACTCAGGTCTCTCGCTTACAAAGTGAGTGCTCTAACCACTGAGCTACAGGACTCCACAGTCCAAATAAAATTTGTCATTCACTTCACACCTGTTCATAGGACATTTCTGCGCTCATGTTAGCTGTTGTGATTGGCAACAAAATACACACTACACTTTACAGTACATAGATTGCATAATTACAACTTGTTGGTGTAGATTTTCATAGACGGTATATTTTCATAGACAAGCCATTCGGCCCAACTGGTCCATTTCGGTGTTTATACTTCACATGAGTCTCCATCGACTCTTTATTCCGAAACACTGATTGTGCAGCGTCTTGGGATGTCCTCCCGATGTGAAAGACGAGATAGAAATTTAATTTTGTTGTTGTTGTTGCTATATTGATTCCCACATGCTTCTATTCCCCTCTCCCTCATGTGTGTGTGTGTATATATATGATATATATATATAGTTTCAGTAGCAAGGTGCTGAAATCTATCTATACTATCTGTTTCTACCATATACAATACATTCTGATTCCTGCTTTGAGCTATCCTCTTGATGTGAAAGGCGCTATATGAAATGTAACAATTATTATTATCTCCGCAGGTTGATGGGAAGGCAACCTTCCTGCATCTTTATTAAAGCTTTTGTGGTACTCGAGAGGGTCAGCTAACCTTACAAAGAGCACCAGCTGGCTCTCTTAAAGGTCACATCATCTCACAGAGTGCTCAGTGCCTCTGCCTTTGTTCTCTCAGTCAAAAAATATAAAAATACAATTCACATTTATAACTGTTTCCATTCAAAGTTGAAGTATTTCTGTTTCAAATAGCACTTCTAAGTCACTGGGGCAGAGGGGAGGAAATTACACCATGTGATGTTAACACCTGTGATAACAACAACAACAAAATTACATTTATAGAGCGCCTTTCACGTCGGGAGGACGTCCCAAGGCACTGATAATTATCACGTGGACCTACATCACATAGTCATTAGTTATTAATGTTGTGGAGTTCTGTAGCTCAGTGGTTAGAGCACTCGCTTGCAAGCGAGACACCTGAGTTCAATTCCAGGCAGAGCGAAACCTTGGGCAAGTTTCCTTACTCCACACAGAGCCTAATAATAATCCCTCCAAAACCAAAACCAATAATAAATTCGTCATTTTCAATCCACGACTGTTTGTGGGACATTGCTGCGCGCAATTGGCTGCCGCGTTCGCCCACAAATATACGGTCAATTCACTTTACAGTCTATTCTGTGAAGCGTTTTGAGACATCGAGAAGACGTAAAAAGCACTGTATCAATTCAAGGATTATTATTGTATATTATTATTATTACTGGCCTCAGGATAGATGTACACTCGTAAACTACTAGTGTCTCTGGAAGCCAAAGCCCTTCCTCTCTTCCTTGTGGTATAAATCCTACAACTATAGAAATCTGCAGAGGCAGGTGATGTTGTGTATATGAGGGGACCATCAGCAAGCGAGATCCCAGCTGCGTCAGCCTGGCTCACTGGTAGCAGTCCCACCTCTATGGCAAAAGGTTGTGGGTTCAATGACTTGGAATCATATAGACTAAGATGGCTCTCCAATGCAGTGCTGGGGATGTGTTGCATTGTTGGAGGTGTAGTCCATTGGATGAGATGTAAAACCGTCTCTCTGTCCAGGTGGGAGTTAAAGTTTCCAATTCCTACTCAAATACAAATGCAATTCACATTGATACAGCGCCTTTCGTGTTGGCAGGACGTCTCAAAATGCTTGATACTGCTGGCTGGGCCCTCAAACTTTGGAGAGGGTGGGCGGAGGTGAATGAAGACCGAAAGCATGTTGAAAGAGGTTCTTGAGTACCACCTGGTCCTTAAAGTTACCCTCTGGGGTATTCATCAACAAGAACAACTTGAATTTAGCCATTGCCTTTCACCTAGGTATCTCAGAACGCTTCATAAAGAACGGGGAGCAAGGGGAGGTAGGTTTTAACTTGGCACTGGGTGGGTGCACAGCATCCATTGGCTACAACGCCGTTTAAAGCTACTTATTCATTTTCAGTTTAAAATCATAGAATTATACAGCACAGAAGGAGACCGTTTGAGCCATCATGTCTGTACCGGCTCTTTGAAAAGATCTATCCAAATCAATCCCACTACCCCGCTCTCTCCCCATAGCCCTGCAAACTTGTCCTCTCCAAATAAGTATCTACTTCTCCCTTAAAAGCTGTTATTGAATTGGCTTCCACCTCCCATTCAGGCAATGCATTCCAATCCAAACCACTCGCTATGTGAAAGAATTGCTCCTCGCCTCCCCTCTGTTTCTTTTAACAACTAGTTTAAAATATAAAGGCGATGAAAGCCAGACATCATGTGGGGGGTGGCAAGTGCGGGGTGGGGGACAGAGTGGGATGCTGCCACATAGTGGCCACTTAGTGTAGCTGTTTGTTACTGCAGCTTTACTGAGGAACTTCGAATGTTAGTTTCACAACAAAAGAAACGCTAATTAATGCAATAATTATTGCCTTAACCCGGCTCAGTTGTTATCACTCTCGTCTCTGAATCAGAAGGATGTAGATTCAAGCCCGGACTTGCAATTCATATAGTCCTATGCTGACACTCCAGTGAGGTGCCGGGGGGAAGCACCGCATTGCTGGAGATTCTGTCCTTCAGACAAGGCGTTCAGCCAAGGTCTTGTCTGCCTTTTCAGTGGATGTTAAAGATCCAATGGCACTATTCGAAAAGAGAAGGGAGTTTCTCCTGCTGTCCTGGCCCAACAATCCCTCGATGGCTGTCTGTGGCACATTGTTGAGCGCAAACGTTCGCCTGCATAATATAGAGACACTACACTTTGAGGGGTATCCTCCAAAGCTCTTTGAGACATCTCGAACAATATGATCAAGTGATAATACAGGCTTTGAGCTCACATTCTAGACGGTCACTCCAGCACAGTTTGTGGAGGGTAGAGCATTGAAGGGGTGCTGTTTTGTGGGAGGTGCTGCATTGTTGGATGAGACATTTAAGCAGGGTCCCGTCTACCTGCTCAGCTTGATCTTAAAGATCCCATGGCGCTACTTAAAAGAGAGGAGGGAGTTTCTCCCAGCGTTCTGGCAAATAATCCCCTACCTAGATAAAATTAATCATTGAACTTCACGACTGTTTGCGGGAATGTTGCTGGTACAGAAAGAGCCTGCAAAACACACAGTCTTACTCGGTTGGCAGCGAGTAAGTGTCAAGCACTTTGAGAGAAACTGTTTCCTCAGGACACAGATTCAAGATAATTGGCAAAAGAACCAGAGAGGAGAGAAGGAGACTATTTTTTTTTACCCAGAGAGTTGTTATGATCTGGAATGCACTGCCTGAATGAGAGGTGGAAGCAGATTCAATGGTAGTTTTCAAAAGGGAATTAGATATGTACTTGAAAAGGCTATGTATGGGGTAAGAGTGGGGGAGTGGGACTAGTTGGAAGCTCTTTCAAAGAACCGGCACAGGTACGCCGGGCTGAATGGCCTCCTTATGTACTGTAATATTCTATAGCAACTTACATAGCATCTTTCACGTTAGGCCAGCATCTCAGAGCGCTTTACAGTTTAATAGCTTGACGTACCTGGACACAAGGCGATGTTGCAGATTTTTGTTTGTGTCTCGGCTCCGTCGCATGACCTGCCACCGTGCTGAGGAGAGACGCAGCTCCTCGTCCGCGTTCTTTGGCCTCTACCACAAGTAAAGGAACATAAGCTCCAAGGTGACCACTCTTCCCAGACGCCATGCACTACAACAGAATAAAAGCAGTCTATAAAAGCAGAGGTTAGACACAGACACAAAACACACGCAGCAACACCAGCCAGCCAGCCAGTCAGCCAGCCAGCCAGCCAGGCAAGGAGGAGAGAGGTAGAACATGTTATTGCCTTTACAGTATACACAACTCAATACAGCGCGCAGAGCACATTACTGGCTGTACAGCACACACACACAGCCCAGAGTCAGAGGTACAGTATGGTACTGGCTGTACAGCACAGATACAACCCAAGGAGAGGGGTATAGCCTTGAGACAGCCCATTGAGCCCTGATACAGAGGGTTAGAGGGTACCAGACTCGTACTATTTTGGTATATTGACGGCTATAATATTACTGGGGGCTCCATGCTAGTGCACTGATGACAGCACTGGTGAGATGAGAGGGAGAAGGGGGAAGAGCAAACCCACAGCAGCTCAACGGTGACAGCAAATACAGTACTGGGATAGTCTGGGGGTGAGAGTTCAGCACGTACAGAGCAGATACAGTACTGAGGCACTGTGGAGCTGAGAGTACAGTGGACACAGATCAGATACAGTACTGAGATAGTCTGGGAGGGGGTGAGCACAGCACACACATTGCAGATACACTACTGAGACAATCAGGGCCTCCGCTGTGGGTTGGGGGGTGAGGTGGGTGGGTTATATGCAGGGTCAATGCCTGTATTAGCCAGGAGATCTGCTCTTGATCTTTGTTTATTCATTAGGGGAAGGAAGGTACTACGGCAAAGTTAGATACTCACCCACTCAGTGACAGAGAGAAACACCAGGGGTCCTCTCCTCCCACCCCACCCCCTCACCCACTCAGTTACAACAATAACAACAGCAACAATAAATTACATTTGTATGGAACCTTTCACATCAAGAGGACATCTCGAGGGGCTGGACAGTCAGGGATTTGGACCAGAGCTAGGGGTCGGAATTAGGAGGGGTGGAGGGCATGGAGTGTAGGGGTAGGAGGGTGACCGATGATGCAGTGGAAGAGGAGGGTCTTGAGACGTACCTTGAAGGAGGCAAGGGAGGGGTTGAGGTGAAGGGAATGTGGGCTGGAGTTCCAAAGGGTGGGGGTAGAGAGGCTGAAGGTCTGACCGCCAATGGTGGGTGGGGGACAGGGGACGTGAAGCAGGATGGAGCCTGGTGAGCGCAGGAGGAGGTTGATATAGAGTTAGCAGGTCACAGAGATAGGAAAGAACAAGGCCATGGATGGCTTCGAAGGTGAGGACGAGGATTTTTGAACTTCATCCTCTGGGGAATGGGGAGCCATGGAGCTGGGCGAGGGTGGGTGTGATGGGGTCACAGAGCCTGGTGTGGCAGAGGACACGAGCTGCAGAGTTCTGGATGATCTGCAGCTTGTGGAGGGAAGAGTTGGGAGGCTGACAAGCAGGGAGTTAGCATAGTTGAGCCTAGATGTGATGAATGCGTGGATAAGGGTCTTGGCGGCCTGAGGGGAGTTACAGACGGAGATCAACCGTAACCAGGGAGTAGGCAGTATCTCTGCTCTCTCAGTGAGAACATTGGGAAATATCACTGAAAATCCCACCCACACTGGGCCCGTGAGACCGTTTGTCTTCAAATTGAAAGGAACTGTGATAAAATTAATTAATATAATAATTATCCTTAAAATAATAATCCTTGCATTTGATATAGCGCCTTATCACGCCGTTGAGACGATTCAAAGCGCTTCACAGAATACACTGTAAAGTTAAGTAACTGTGTATTTTGTCTGGCTGGACAGTGCAGAACTGAGGTAGGACACAACGGGATGGCCACAGGAAACATATAAAAGGCAAAGGGAACGGTGGGGTGGGGTGGAAACAAAGGTGGGGGAAGTGTGAGAGAGAGTGTGGAGTATGTGAGAGAGTGAGAGAAAGGGTGTGGATTGTGAGAGAGAGGGTGAGAGAGGGCATGAAGTGTGAGGAGGGCGTGAAGTGTGAGATAGAGTGTAAGAAAAGGAGTGTGGAGTGTTAGAGAACGCGTGGCGTGTGAGAAACAAAGAGCCAAAATAAACCACACTAAAATATATTATTTTCACTGATCCGATAAGCATTTCAACGGACCATTCTCCGATCGTCACTATCCTGACTGACCAGGGCCACTGAATTCCCCAAGGTCTGAGGCATTATCTTGCAATTTAAGGTCGATCAATATTTTGGAAAATTCCTGACTTCGGTCTCAATTCAGAAGCTGTGTTCTTTTCAAGGATTGTTGTAGAGAGCTTTCAAAATCAAGGCTGGATCAAAGAATTTTTCAAATTCCTGCACCTTAATAATATAATAATAATGATCCTTGCATTTGATGTAGCACCTAATCACGTTGTTCAGATGTCTCAAAGCGCTTCACAGAATATATTGTAAAGTGAATTGATTGTGTGTTTTTCGCCAACAAAATATACAGCACTACACTTTTAATTATTTTTTGTGAAGCACTTTGAGACTTCTCAGCAATATGATAAGGTTCTGTCAAATGAAAGGATTATCATTATTTTATTACAGATGAAATGCGGCAACGAATTGCGCACCACAGTGTCCCACAATGGATTGAATGAGTGGATTTTTTTTAGGGGATTATTACACCCGGAAAGCATTTGCCATTCAACTAACTGGGATCCTATTTACTGCTATTTAAACAGAGGCGTGTGAGGTAAGGAAACCTGCCTAAGATTTCACCTCACCTGGGAATCGAACCCAGGTCCTCGCTTGCGAGGTGAATGTGCTACCCACTATGCTCCAGGACTCTTTCAATTCGAAGACAAACTTCTTTAAGGCTCAGACATTGAGGTGCCTTAGGGGCCTCTGGATGTTGCCAGGTGTTGCAGTGGGCGTATTCCAATATTAAGCCACTCTTGCTTAAAATCTAAGATGCCGCAAATTGAAAATTTGTGGAATATTCTTAAATCCAGTCGGAACTTGTTCGGACGGCTTGTTGGTAAGAACTGCGGAAAAAAAACGTGTTTCAAACTTGTGTGAGTGAAATTGGTGCAGATTTTAAGAACAAAATGGCTTCACGGGCTAAAGGCTGGGCGGTATTCCTAGATTCCCTGGTTCCTTGAAGCTGGATTTGAGACCTTGACAAACGGGAGAGAGAACGCAAAGCCTGTCTGGTCAAAGTTCCCGACCTCAAATTTATATCGATAATAATAATCCTTACATTTTATACAGTGCCTTTCATGTCAGGAAGAATACTTAAAGCATCTCACAGGATTTTTACTATCGAGGGTAGTGACCGTATTTTGTAGGCCAAAGCAATGGCCAATTTGCCCAAAGCAATGGTCCATAAACAGCCATAGAGTGAGTGACCAGTTTTTATTTGGGGGATTGTTGGCCAGGACACTGAGAGAGAGAAACTCCCTTCTCTTTTTGAATAGTGCCCTGGGACACTTAACATCCAATTGAACAGGCAGACGGGGCTTCGGTTTAACATCTCATCCGAAGGACGGCACTTCCGACAATGCAGCAAACCCTGCAAACACTCCACTGGAGTGTCTGGCCTGTGAGTTCAAAGCCCTGAGGTGGGGCTTGAACACACAACTGTCTGACTCGGAGATGAGACTGACCCAGGCTGTCACACAAATTTTATACAATACAGAAGAACACAAAATTACATTTGTACAGCACCTTTCACGGCAAGAGGACATCCCAAGGCGCTGGACAGTCAGGGATTTGGACCCGAGTGGGCTTTGGGATCAGGAGGGGTGGAGGGCAGGGAGAGTAGGGCTTAGGAGGATGACCTAAGGCACGGTCGAAGAGGCAAGGGAGGGGGCGAGGCGGAAGGAATGTGGAATGGAGTTCCAAAGGCTGAAGGCCTGATCGCCGATGGTGGGACGGGCCGGCGGGGGGAGCGGAAAGGTTTGGATATGGGTTTATACAAGTTTACATGTATGTAGGAAATTTTAAACTTGCTTTAAACTTAAAAGTAAAAACAATCGTCACGTGATTAGAGTATAAAACACACAACCGGCGCCGAAAGATAGACGGAGGGAAAGCGAAACAGAGATGGAAGATTTGTGAATATCTTTTGGCCTCGATGTCTATGGCTTGTCACATCATTCAACATCCATACTGTTACTCATCTGTTTCTAACGCTACCTGGACAGAGGACAGTGTTATTGCAAACCCTTGATTCTCTTAAAGGCACGTGGCACAGTATTCCGTAAGATGATACACAAGCTCTTGTTCGCACCTGCGACCCTTGACCACATGTTACTGAACACGCACTCCACTGGGCCCATTCTTCTGTAACAGGGTCTCCTGTACAAACACAAGAAAGACAAAGAGAGAGAGAGAGAGAGAGAGAGAGAGAAAGAGAGAGAGAGAAAGGGAGATGACTGGTTATAACAATCCTTGCAGACCTCAAAGCGAAAGTCATGACAACAGCAGAAGAGCAAACGAGTTGTGTTTCAAAACAGACGAGCATTACAACGTCATGCACCGAGGTGAAAGATCCTTAAACAAAAAAAACCAACGAACGAACCAAAGTTTTTAAAAGAGAAAAACAAAGGATTATGACCAAAAAGTTTCATGACACTGAACGCATGGTTTTACAGATGTCGAAGCGATCTGATCGGTAACAATAATAATCTTAATATAATAATCCTCCCTTTGATACAGCACTTTATCGTGTCATCAAGAGGTCTCGAAGTGCTTCACAGGTTATGCTGTAAAGTGCAGAGAAGAGTCTGTGTCTTTTCTGGGCAAACTCAACAAATGTCCCCACATGAAGTGAGTGAGCAATTTTTTTGGGGGGATTGTTGGCCAGGACAGCCTTAATTGTTGGTCAAAGATGTGAGAAACTCCCTTATCATTTTAATAGTGCCATGGGATCTTTAATGTCCGCGTGGACAGGCAGAAGGGACCTTGATTCAACATCTCATCTGAAATCTGAAGGACGGCACCTCCGTTAAAGCAGCACTCCCCCCAGCACCTCAGTGGCATGTCAGCCTGGACTATATGCCTCCCAAGTCCCTATCCACAGGAGAGATTTAGTCTGAGCTCTGAATTTGCTGAATTTTTCAGCAGTTTGGAGAGTGTACAAAATTCTAGCAAATTCAAGTCCTTCTCTGGGTAGGAGGAGCGGGACTCGATGATGACAATTTTAAGCTGTTCCAGTTGTTCACTAACTCCAACTCATAAGTTTCTGAACTGCAGTTTTATTTTACTTTATTTTTTTCATCTAAATCCAGATATTTAAAGGCTCTCCCTCCTCCTCTAACTGACAAGGTTGTATTACGTTTAGATGTTTCCAGATTAACCCCACCAGAAAAAAAAACCCTGTAAGTTTTGTTTTCCAAAGTGTTTCTGCCTTAAAAACTCCTGCCTTAAAGTTCGGTTGCCTTCCAGGTACCTCCCTGCTGTGTGGCTCAGCCTGGGGAGAGGGGGGGTTGCGGTGGGTGTGTGGGTGTATGGTATAAGCTCTCGCATCCTCAAGCCTGTATGTTAGCAGCCACAAGACTCTGGCTTCTGCAGGTTGGTGCAGAGATCCATCAGAAAAGATAAACTGCAAAGTGCTCCATCCAGTGGTCAAGTGCAGTGAAACTTCTGCAGTTTGGCTTCGATTCACTCAGTTTAAAAAAATATCCTGGGGCTTTTTTGGGGGACCGTCCTGCATGGAATGGGCTTGTGATTCAGGTGGATGTTTCAGAGGAACTCAGATTCTTTGTCTCAGTTTATCCTGGTCTATATATACCCACCTCCACCCCTAAAGGCCAAATTATTGTCAAGTGGCTGTTCATCTCACTGTTGTTTGTGGGACCTCAACAATGCAGATTAGCCGGTGTAATTTGCCGCTCTAACAACTCTCATTTTCATTTCTTATCAATTACATTTGGTAAAGCACTTTGAGGCCTTTGTTTAACGTGAAAGACACTAAATAAACTTCGAGTTGTTTATTGTTGCTATTACTAAAGGGATGATGAACTGCAGCATTCGGGTAACCTCACAAGTGAGACTGTTTTTCAAGTGAACAGAGAAAAATAATAATAATAACAATAATCCTTGCATTTGACATAGCGCCTTAATCACGTCATCGAGACGTCTCAAAGCGCTTTACAGGATATATTGTAAAGTGGTTTTTGACTGTGCATTCTGTGGCCGAAATGTGGCCAATTTTTTCTAATGTTCGCCAAGACATAATACAGGAGTTTTGCTGTAAAGTGCAATGACTGTGTATTACGCCCACGAAATAAACAGTCAATCCACTTTACAGTATATTTTGTGAAGTGCTTTGAGACGACTCAATGATGTGACAAGGCATTATATGAAATGCAAGGATTATTATTATGTGAGTGAATGTGGCACCCAATTTGCGCACAGCAATATCCGAAAACAGTGATGAAGTGTGTGTGTGGGACAGAGGGGGGAGGAAGGGCGGGTTTGGGGTTTCAGCGAGGACATGTACAGGCTCTAAACAGTCTCTAGAGACATACAGTTGCCTGGCCAGTGTCAGGGTCTAGAAGTTCTTTATTTATGTACCATTTCAGAGCATCTAGAATTTCACAGATTCTTAAACATGGTCTTTAACTTTGAAGCCGTTTGTTTTGTACAAGGAACTACAGCCTTTCAAGGAACTACAGAAACTACTTTCCGTTTGAAAGTTCAAGAGCGAATTCAAACAATTTCCCAAATTCTCCATGCTCTGAAGCAGGGCGGTGCAACTGGCGGCCTGCGGGCCACATCTGGCCCAGGAGATGATTTCATCAGGTTCATGAACCATTTCCAACTTCATTGTCCAGCGAGGCAATACAGGCCCTGAGGCAATCAGAAAACGGTCACCAGGGGCTCAGGCTCTGCCCAGCAATGGGATTGGCCAATCAAGATAAAATATTGCTTCTGGGACTTGTGGACATTTGTCATATCCGGCCCTCAGCAACCGAAAGATTGTACCCTCTGCGCTAAAGTGTTAGGTCCCTTGAGTAAGTCTGACTCAGGTGGAGTTTTTCCCCATTTGTGAGTACTCTGTGCAGTTCTGGTCACCCTACTACAGCAAGGACACTGTGGGATTGGAGTGAGTGCGGTGCAGATTTATTACCAAGGATGAGGAGATACAGCATTCAAGAAAGATTAGACAAGTTGGAGCTTTTTTCTCTTGAATTGAGACGAGTGAGATAGGACCTGATAGAGGGGTTATGAAAGGATTGGATCTGGTGGATGTTGGTGGGTTCAAGACAAGAGGGTGTAAATATAAAACAGAAAGTGGTGGATCTAACAGGGAGATTAGGAGGAACTTCTTCACGCAGAGGGTGGTGAGAATGTGGAACTCACTGCGAAGTTGAAGGTTGAAGCTGTGGTTGAAGAAAAAAGCATCAACATGTTTAAGAGGAAACTTGATGCAAAAACATGAGGGAGAAGGCAATAAATATAAGACAGCCAGTGGTTTTGGAATGGGGAACAAGGAAGGGTGCTGGCATATGTGGAGTAGAAACACTAGCATGGACCAGATGGACTATTTGACCTGCTCTGTGCTGTAACATTCTGTATAATTCTACATATTGAGAAGCCAGAGCAGACCAGTGGGGATTACAATCTGGAGGCGCTTCTTAAAAGCTTCTTATCTAAATGAAGACTACAAATAATAAATTGAATGTTATGTCAAATGAACAGATTGCAATGTAAATGCAAGCTGTTGTTATTCATTGTAGCAGATGTGACAATGGGAGAGGGGTAGAGTGCATGAAGGGAGTGAGGGAAACAGGCGTCGTATAAAAATGATGTTGAATTTGTATAAAATCTTGGTTAGAACCATATTTGGAGTGGGTCTTCACAATATGAGAAGGATAGAGCGGTGATGCAAAGAGTACAGCGTAGGTTTACAAGGATGATACCCAAGGCTGATACCCTGATACTGCTATCAGGATAGACCAGATAAGGTAGGCCTTTTTTCGCTAGAGAAGACGTTTAAGAGTTGACCTAATAGACATGTTTAACATTATAAAAGGGTACTAGATCGAAAAGTAAGTTCAGGAGGAACTTCTTCATAAGCTTATCATAAATAGGCTGTTTCCACTGGTTAGGGAGTCTGTACCCAGGGGACACAAATATAAGATAGCGACTGGGGGGATCTAAAAGAGAATTTAAGAGAAACTACTTAAGGCAGAAGGTAGTGAGATTGTGGAACTTGGTGCCTGAATAAGTGGTTGAATCAGACAGTGTAGATACATTCAAGAGGAAGCAAGACCTTCACATGAGGGAGCAGAGAATAGAATGGTGTTGGAGGGAGTAAGGAGTGAATGAAGATTTGAGTGGAGTATAAACACTGGCACGGGCTGGTTAGGCCAAATGGCCTCTTTCTGTGCTAAACATACTTTGTAAATGGGTTTATATGGATGAGATGAATATAAAGTGTCTTGAGACTCTCTCCTAAGTAAAAGGTGCTACCTACGTACAGTGGAGCCTCATTGTAACCAGGTTTGGATCCATACTGTGCTATAGTGAGGCTCGATAGCTGGTTTCACTCCAAATGTATGTAGCCGTTCTGTGCTGTAAAAACACAAAAATGGCAGAAATTTGGGTCACCGGGCCACCGCAAGGCCACTTCTTGTTCACTGCTCAGGAAGAAGTGATGTCGACGGAGACCTGATGACCTGGAAGCCATCCATTTTAGTAGAGAAGCCAGCCGGCTGCACACTCGCACAGTGAATGGGACCCACAGTGCAACCAAATTCATGCTTATGGTGAATACACTTATAATGGGGTCGCACTGTACATGTTCTTGCTGAAATAGTGTAAGTAAATCCCAACATGCATCTCGCCAACTCTCGAGATCTCAGCTTCGATCAGCTAGACATTGGGTTTCGGGGGCTCCCCAGAGTGGAGATGGACTGTATCTCCCCCAGGAGCTTTTCTCTTCCCAGGGTAACGTGCTATTTACTTTGTGTCCTGCCGTCAAGCTCTTTTGTCAGCCCCGCTATCAGCCTGCCTTCCTCTGATGTAACAGTGACTGGAGACGGAGAGACTGAACCCTAAGCCTCAGAGATTTCTTTTCACATTTTCTCAGTAAAATGGTCAGAGTAAGATTGCTGCAGGTCAAGCCGATTCACTTAAAGATTTCCTTTTCGCTGCATAAACTCAAGGTCCGCTGAGGTGAATCCATGGCTGAGGTCAAACAAGGAACTTGCCTCGAAATAAAAAACGACTGATGGATTATCAGCAAAGAGTCAGCGTGGCTGTCTGGTTTCCTGGGACGTTGCTGTGTCCCATTCGCGCATAAAATCGCGACACTTCGCAGTAAAATTCTATGAAGCGCTTTGAGACGA